TTGAGAACACCATGGCCGAGATTAGGTGCACCTTTGTATCTAGACTACCACCGTTGCTCTTCAGCACTCTGGAGAGGTCCATGACAGCAGATGTATAGAATATATAGAAAATATATTTTGTATATATTTATACATTATATATACAGTATACTTTATGTATACATATATACAGTGCTTGCTGCAGAAAGTCAAGGACTATAGTATTCAATACAGATTGCATCTCAACATCAAGAAAATAAGAATTCTCACCACTGGGCCAATTGGCAGCAACATGATAGATGGAGAAGAGATGAAAGCTGTTAACAATTACAGCTTGTTTGGCTCCACAATCACTACTCTTGGCACTAACAGTCAGCAGATGAAAAGACAAACTGCACTGGGGAAAATCTGCTATCAGGGACCTCTCTAGAGTACTGAGAAGCATCAGTCTAGAGACTAAGGTGCACCTGATCCAGGCATGGTCTTCACAATTACTTGATATGCATCAGAAATCTGGGCAATGACTAAGGATGACCAAAGAAGAACTGATGCCTTTGAGATTAAGATTGATGCTGGAGAAGAGTTTTGAACATACCATGGACTGCCAAGAAAACAAATAGGTCTGTCTTGGAGAGGAAGAAACTAAGTTCCTCCTTGGAGGCTAGGATTTTGAAGCTCCATCTCACACACTTTGGTCACATGGAAGGAGGGACCGGTGCTTCAAGAAGGACATCATGCTTGGAATGATGGAGAGACAGTGCAGGAGAGGAAGACCCCAGATGAGATGGATTAACATAGTAACTTAGGCAATGGAGGAAGGTGTGTTGGAGTCAGTGACACAGGGCAGGTTTCAGAGCATGCGATTGGATGGCACATAACGAGAAGACTACACACAGACATTATTACTCGTTGTAATTCTTCAGCAAATCCAATCTAAGACACTTTGGAAGGGAAACACAATTCCAACACTAAAGATAAAGAAATCAAGAAAAATAATTAACAAAGGCACATTGCCAGGAATATAATTTTCAGTTTCAAAGAAAATCTGATAAAATGTGGATGTTAAAGCTCTAGCACTATTTTTTTGACCTGAAATCTCTGTGCAATTGCTCATCTTGCATAGTAAGTAGATTCATTTTGCTTAACTTAATTTTGTCCTTTGGCCTGTGTTAAAAAAAAAACCAGAAACACAACAATGAGACAGATGCAGCTGATTTCTCTTCAGAGCATTGGGATATTATTTGGAAGTGATACTGGCAAGAAAATTGTCTTCAGAAGCAAGTTTTATTCCAAGTCCATCCTTCCTTTGAATTGAATATGGTTCCAAGTACTTTTCTGTACAAAGATCACACCAAGAGAATAAAATTCATGTCTTAGTTATTGTAAGCATTTGGGAAAGGCACAACTATTGTTGTATCCATCTATTCTGTGCAGAGGAATGGGTCTTCAAAGACAGTCGCATCCTATTATCTGCCTCTGTCTCCAAGAGCAAAATTCTAGACAGTTGTTTTAACTTCTCTTTGCTTTTATCTGTGAAAAGTAAATAATCATTCTTGTATCTATCCTGTAAGATTGTGAGAAGAAAGTAGTATAATAAAATACTGTTATAAGAGTTTAACATGATAGCTTTAATAATGATTATAATGATTAATGAATCAGTCTTCCTTTCTGCCTTTACCTTCTAAATACAGCCAACAAGGGCTCTTTTTTAAAAAAAGAAAAAAAGTAAAATTGTATCAGAATTCTCCAAAGGTTGCTTGGTGTCAAAGAACAAAGATCAGAGTTGGAGTTGGAAGTGCTCTGTTTCTATCTGCTGGTCTATCTGGCTTCATGTCTCACCACCCATCCTTTTCTGTAATAATGTACCAAATGTAACGCCTCAAATATTCCCTTTTACAAGAGCTAAATTATATGGCATATGCTAGTTCTCACGTCTGGAATGTTCCACTTTACTCAGTTAAGATTCAAAGGGACTTATTCCTTGGCTTTTCCAGATAAAGTCCTTTAACAAGGAAAAAATTATGGATAGGGTCCTTAAGTCAATAGATTACCATACTTTGAAAAGTCAATATCCTTATAAACTCTGAGATCTTTGGAGTAAAGAGTAAATCCTCTCATTGTGTCGATGCCAATCCTGAGATTACAATAAATACAGAAAAAGAGTTTGCTGAATGACCCACTTTCATTTGTACATAAATGAATACAGAGAGCTCTGGTGGCCTAGTGAGTACGGAGTTGAACTACCAACCCAAAAGCAAGGCGGTTCAAATCCACTAGCTCTTCCTTGGGTGAAAGATGTACAATTTACAGCTTCTGAAAATCTACTGGAGCGTCAGCTATGAGCTAGTTCCAACTTAATAGTATACAACTTATAAATATACCACATATAAGAGAGATGTTTAGAGAACAGACTGGATGGAAACATAATAAAGAATTAGTTATTAACATCTGGTTAAGAGAATGAAAGTGTTTATTTTTTATGTTTTGCAAAGTTTTCATTTTTTTAAACTTAAAAATAAGTATAAATGAAAGAAAGAATACAGCATAATGCCGGGGATCTTGCCTTATTCACCTTTGTATTAAAATGCTAAAGAGCACCTTTTTATAAAAATAAAACAAAGTTCACCAAACCTCCGCCCAGTCCAGTTCCTTGCATAGAGAAGGTGCACATTTGTTTGAATGAAATTTATTCCGTTGACTTAAATAATTCAGATACAAAACTTATTTAATTCAATAAAAACTAGGTGTTGCCTGACATGAGAGTTAAATGGTAAAAAAAAATCACAAATGCAAAAGTGTTTTTATATCTTAGATCTTCATTGCTTAGGGCACGTTTTAGGAATTATTCATACATAACCTCAGAACACAGAATAACATGTCCATTGTCATACTGAACAGTGCTAATGACAAGGGACAAGTTACTTAAACTCCTGGAGAGGGTATTTGCCAGTTTTCCATACTAAGAAACACTCTAACAATTAAAAATCTATAAAAACTTTACTCTTGGGGTATGATTTATCTAGACTCATGCTTCCTAAAAGGAGGAAGCATTTAGCTATCCAAGGAAAGAGGCTACTCACCTTTTTGTTAAGCCACACTGTGCCTCTGATGTGCTTTTAGAGAACTTCAATGGCCTTCAAAGGGCAGTGAAGCTTAGAAACTGGAAGCCTGAGTGGTTTATATTTTCAGGTAGAGAATGTAAGATAAACAGAGGACAGTCTCCTGCATACTAAGGAGCACGTCAACTAGAGTCTGAGTAACTTGCCAAAACCAACTTTATAAAAACAGCATCCTCAGCAGCCCACCAATTCTACTTCCTGGAATGTCTACTCAGTCTTTGAGTTCTGGTGGTGTAGTCCATAGCGAGCTGTGCTAATAACCTAACAGTAGCTGGTTCTAATCCACCGGTAGCTCCTTAGAAGAAAGATAGGAAATCTCCTCTGAGTTGGCTCCAACTCAAAGGCAATAAGTTAGATAGAAATGTCAATTAAGAAAATGCCCTTGTGGGACCACTGGTTGAGTAAATGATGGTAAATCCAAATATTATGTTGTCATTATAAATAATGTAGAAATACACCTACATGAAAACATAGTCACAATTCATTGGTCAGAAAAAGTAGGTTACAATGTAGTATTGGCAATGTGAGCACATTGCCATTTACAGATATAGACAGACAAATAAAATTATGAATAGAAAAGAAATTCTGGAAACTACACATGGAAATATTAAATAGGCATTTTCTCTGAGTAGTAAGAAAATGAAATGTTCTTTTTTTCCCTCCCCTTCCTCCCTTTGAAGTGTGAACAGCTAACTTCATTCTACAAGCAATGGAGACTTCATGCAGGTTTTTAAATGAACATTCTTTTTTCTCTTCAAACTTTAAAAACGTATTTCCTGATATTTCCTTCAATGAACATGTAATTAGGAATAATACTTCTATACTTGTTATTATGTGCCAGCAAGTCACTTGTGACTCATAGTGACCCTATGTACACTAGCTTTGAAACCTCCCCTATCCTGAGTCAGTCTCATTGTTTCTGACACATCTAATTGCATTTCTGCAATCACTGAGCCAATCCATCTCATCCTGGGTCTTCTTCTCCTGTGCTGTCCCTTCTCCCTTCTAAGCATGATGTCCCTCTCCAAGGACTAGTCTCTCCTGACCACATGCCCAAAGTATGTGAGCCAGAGCCTCAAAATCCTTGCCTCCACGGAGCATCTTGGTTTCACCCTCTCCAGAGCAGACCTGTTTGTTCTCCTGGTAGACTATGGTATGTTCAACACTCTTCTCCGGCACCACAAGGTATGAAACCTTCTTCTATCATCCCTAGTTACTGGCCAGCTCTTGGATACATAGTAAGCAATAGCAAAGACCATGGCCTGGATCAGGTGCACCTTAGTCTCCAGACTGACTTAATTGTTCTTCAATACTCTACTGAGCTCTCTGACAGCTGACTTTCCCAATGCAATTCATTTTTAATTTTCTGATTGCTGGAATCAAGAGTATTGATTGTGGAACCAAGCAAGCTTAAGTTACCAATAACCTCAAATTCTTTGTCCATCATGAAGCTGCTGATGAGAATCTTTGTTGTCTTGATGTTCTCTTCAATACATGTTCTCTTCAGTTTCAGCAAGCAAGATTGTATCATCTGCATAATACAGGTTGTCAATGAGTCTTCCTCCAACTTTTGTACTTAGAAGTCACTTTAAAAATCAGCAGCCAAACAATAATTCATGGGTTCAATTGTAGAGGAGAGGCATCTGCAGCCACAACCTGGCTCTCGTATCTTCCATCTAAACCTTCCCGGAATAAACTAGCCATCTCCTAGAGGTTGCCTAGATACAGCTTCTGTCTTCATTTCCAGGCCACTTAACCTTTCGATGTCAACAAATACTATACCTGATTCATTGCTGACACGTGCACAGCAAAGACAACCCCGTCCTGGGTCATTTGATTCAAATCCAGCATTCCAGGCTATTCTGCAGTTTGATGAGAGCCAGATCTTGGCTGGACACTTACCTCTGCTGCGGGCGACTCCCCTCTTGAGACCTCCTCATAAGCACCCACTTGCTCCCAGGTCACGAGGAAGGCATGTGTGGGGGCAAAATGCGCCGCGGAGTGCGGGAAGCCCGCGCGCACATAGCGAGCCGCCAGATCCAGCACGGCTGGAGAGATGTCCTCGCGGTACAGGATGCGGCCTTTGCCCTGACTCGTGTCTATATCGGCTAGGAAGGGGACGATGGCCGGGAAGTCGGTGGGAAGATCATCGTCCACATATTGGGTCTCCCTGGGGAAGTCCTTGGTGGAGATGATGCCATTGGTGCCCACCTGAGAAGGGAGGAAACAAAGTAAATGGTCGCCCATGCTACAGAAAGCCAAGGGGAAGTCACCCTGTCCCCAAGGGAGGAAAAGATAGTCACACTTAGAACCCTGCCTGGTGTGATCCCACTATTTCCACCAGCTGGGAACTTGTCTCCCAGCTCACACAGGTCAGCACAGCTTCAGCAGGATGCCCCGTCTCTTAATCCTACACAAAAGTGCTGCTCAATAGGTCTAGCAGGCACCTTGTAACTTGCCCCTTTCCATATAATCTTGGGGTCCTTTGGGGGGAAACGCCAGGGTCCAAGGAGGACTCCACCGACCCCCAGCTCTGCAAGCGTGCACAGATTACTCTGGGAACCCCACGGACCACCTGGAGAAGCCAAACTTCTTTTCTGCCTGGGACACATTACCACCCCTTGTAAGCAATTCTTTGCACTCCTAGAGGTTAGGAAGTAGTGGGTGAGGCAATAGCATTGCTGTAAAATTCACTCCCATCTCTAGGGCAAATGGAGCAGTGGGGCGGTAGGGCTATTCCTTTCCTTCTTTCCAAAGGGAGGCGTTAGGTGAAATAGACACTATGCTGACCCCTGGAAAGAGGCTTCGAGAAATTTACCAAGTCTCGCACAGAGCTGCACTTACGTAGAGGTCAGTGAACTGGGATCCGTAGAAGCGCAGGGGAATGGAGAGCCTCACGGCGGCTGAGCTCTCATCGTCGCCTTCCCGCAGGAGCTGATCTCCCCAGGTCTCTCCGTGGAGGAAGAGCTCGTTTGGGTGCAGCGCCGCGACGCGGGGCAGCAGCAGCAGTAGTAGTAGCAGCAGCAGTGGCGGTGGCGGCAGCAGCACCCGCCGATCGGCCGCCGGGTCCCCCCGCATGCTCGCTCGGCCCGCGGGCTGCCCTGACACGGAGCTCGTCCCTGGCCGGCCAGCCAGCCCACTAGCGGCTCGGCGCCAGCCTCGAACCAGGATCCCAGAGAGCTTCTGGCAAGGGCGGGACTCTGGGCTCTCCCAGTGTGCTCATTGGTTGCGGTCCTCGGCCGGGGACCAATCGCCGTGTCTGAGAAAGTTCGACAGCAGCCACCACATCTGGTTCTCGTTAAAAGTTTTCTGAGGCAGCGGTCGCGGGAGCGAGGGAGCTGGCGAGGTAAAAGCCCCGAGCAGGGGCTGCCCTGAGCTGCTCCTCCTCCTCTGCTGAGAGCTGCCGACTCACCCCAGCCCTCCCGTCGGGGATCCCCCAGGTCCCCGGGAACCCCGGCCCGCTCTGCAGGCCTGCAAGCTCGGAGCACTGCAGCGCAGTGGGAGGTGACCTCGGCCTAAGGGGACCCCTGCAGCGGCCTCTGTCCCTGGAGGCGGGCGCAACGTGCCCCTCCAGACTGACGGGACCACAGTGTGGTAGTTGGGTACGGTGTGAGTTTACGCTCCCTTCACCCAGGGGGTTAGATGGAGACGCAAACGAGATTTGTCGCGGCACCAGAGACGCCCTGCAGAGAAGCGCGCCTTTGTGTAGAGCCATAGGCTGATTCCTGAGTTCCGTCCCCTCCCCAAGGCTAGCCACTGGGGGACTGTGTCACCACCCCGCCCACTCAGGGTTTGAGCAGTGCTGTTTCCTTTCTGTAAAGTAAATTGCATCAGGGGAGACCACGAAATGCAACTGAGTGATGGGCTCCACCTGGGGTGTGACATGAAGCATCCTGTCTGGGAAGCGGAAAAAGTGGGAGAGGTGTAGGGAGTAGTCAGCGTGGGCTCGCAGGCCTGGGGCTACACTGGCTGGAGGCCACCGGGGCGGTAACCTGAGACTCGCAGCAGTGCGGGAGCTCCAGGCTTGAAAACAACACGAGCTCGAGACCAGCTGTGTGCTTGTGGAGATTCCCATCTTCCCCTCTCCCCAAATACGCCTTCTATGAAACCTCGAGAGATGGGCAGGATTTTACCATTTTCATTACTAAGGACTTGAAATTTCCCAGATAGTCTATTTTCTCCCGAAGACTCCCTAACCCCCAGCCCCACCTCTCCCACCCTCAAACCCAGTCTCAGTGGAAGCAAAGGTTTTTTTAAAAAAGAAGGAAGGAGCAAATCTTGAAAAAGCCTTCTGTGACTTCTCCAAAGACAGGCTACTTTTTGTAGGTGCGTATTTCAGTTATCCTTACAGGCCCACAGGGCCCAACCCTAAAACCCTTGAAGATAACATACAGAATTAACAAGAAATGGAAAATTGGACCAAAGCAGTTTGTGAAGAGTTGTGTATTTGCGCTCTTAAAAACATTTCATTTGCACGTGTACTTTTTCATTACTTTTGAGATTAGGCATTTCATTTTATTGAGAAAGAAATGAAAAGCATCAGGTGACTTGCTTAAGATTACCTAAAGTAACACTTAGAAAATTCTTTACTGGCTCCCTGTAGCTTTTCCAAATCTCTCAACATAACAACAATTTAAAAAAAAAAAATCCCCAAACCCAGTTACCTGAGTTTTTTCAAACTCAAGAGGACTCTCCATCGGTTTTCCAGGCACAATGACTGCACCATCAGGGCACCCTAAGAATAATAATAGCTAAAGTTTATGTCATGATACTAAGTTATAAGCTGGTGTTACTGGCAGGCAGTCACTAAAATGGCCTGGTCTAGTTCCATTTCCTGGCATTCCTGCCTTTGTGTAATCCCCTCCCCTGCAGTGCAGGCTAGTCTAGTAAATTGCTTTTAACCAACATTATGTAGTTAGGGTGATGGGATGTCAGCTCAAAAAGCAGACTACAAAAGATTGTGATTTCTGTCTTGCTAACAGATGCTCTCTGGCTCTTTTTCAGAAAGGAAGCTGGTATGTTGAGGAGGTCCACCTGGCAAGGAATCATGTCTTCTTACCAACAACGCGCAAGAAACAAATAAATGCTGTCAGCAACCATGCAAGTGGACTTGGAAGTAGATTCTTCTATAATCAAGCCTTGAGATAACACTCCAGCCCTGAATGACACTTTGCAACCTTGTGAGTCTTGTAGAACAACATCGTTGTTGTTGTTATGTGCCATTGAGTCACCTGTGACCCATAGCAATCCTTTGTACAACAGCTCTGAAGCCTGCTCTGACCTGAGCAAGTCTCACTGACTCCAGCACACCTTTGCCCTAGTTACTCCATTGATCCATCTCACCCTGGGGTCTTCTGTTCCTGCACCATCCCTCCACCCTTCTGAGCCTGGCCACATGCCCAAAGTATGTGAAACTGAGCTTCAAAATCCTAGCCTCCAAGGAGAAACTTAGTTTTACCCTCTTCAAGACATACCTATTTGTTTCCTGAACGACATCATAGTCTGACTTAAATTAAAAAAAAAAAACAGAAGACGTTTATTGAGGAGCAGAGATGGTCATTTCCACAAAATGAAATGTCCTTGTCACAAAGTTAAAATGGCCAGTCAGCAGGACTACAAAACAGGGTTCATTTATATATTGTTGGATCAGGAATTTATAAAAAAAAATTCATAATTGACTGAAAGCCCATCAGAAGAATTAAAAGCAGGATATCTAGAACTGAGAATTTGACAGCAGTAGGTTCATAACACATAAATGAGATTATATGATTGGTCAAAGATATCTGTCAGTCAGTTTATTACAAGCCCCAGTACAATGGTACAGGTTCTGATAACCTATTATTCTTCAGTCACATCTGTTCCTGGAAAACCATTGTAAAGATCTCGATATCTCTATTTCAAGACCCTTCCCACCAAGTGTCTTTGTCCACAATGACAAAGACCCTTTTGGAATAGATTAGATATCCAACACAGGAAAAGCCTGGAAGAAATATTGTCCTTGAAGTATATGGACCAAGTCAACACAAAGATTAACTTATTGTCATCAAGGGGATTCTGACTCACGGAGATCCTACGAGGCTGTCACTCTTTCTAGGAGACTGCCCATCTTTCTCCACAGAGTAGCCAGTGAAGCCAAATTGCTGGTCTTTTGGTTAGCATTTGGCCACCAAGGCTGAAAGGGCTACTATTTGGAAAGACAGTTTTTAAAAATCCAATGTGAATTCCAGACTAATGTCAAGATTTTGAAATGCAATGTAAACAAGCCAAGTGCCTCTAACTTTAGAACCTCAGACATGATAGACCCTAAAGCAGTGAACTCAGCTACATAGGACATAGGGCCCTCTCCCAGGACCACACACTGTAAGATACCAAATGTGTGCTGTTCTCAGCCACTGTATTTGTTTATTGTTGCTTGAGTTTTTTAATTGTGATTTTAACAAAAGTTTACAGAAAAGTTGGATTTTCATCCATTCACTGTTATGTATTTTCCTCTCAACCCACCCCAGTTTACTTTTATTTAAAAAAATCCATACATTGATACATAATTTTCTCCCTCCTCCCTTCTCCCCCAGTCCACTTTGCTATGTACCTCTTATTCTGGACTGTTGACATACAAATAAAACCTAATCATATATTCCTTTTAAATAGTTCTTTCCTTCATCTGTTCCAAGGCAGTGTTCATGATCTATCCCCTCTTTTCTCAGTTTTCCCCCAACCCCCATGTCAGTCTGTTTTATAACAGTGGTGTTATGAAGTATTTGTCCTTTTGCGACTGAGATATTTCATTCAGCATAGTGTCTTCCAGGGTCACCCATGTTGTGTAATATTTTATGAGTTCCTTGTTTTCCAGTGCTGTGTAGTGTTCTGTTGTGTGAATTTACCATAGTTTTTCTATTCATTCATTTGTTGATGGGCACTTGGGTTATTTCCACCTCTTTGTTATTGTGAATAATGCAGCAATAAACATGGGTTTGCATACATCTATTTGAGTGGCAGCTCTGCTTTCTTTAGGGTATATTCCTAGTGGTGGAATTGCTGGGTCATATGGTATTTTTATTTTCAATTTTCTGAGAGAGTGCCAGATTGCCTTCCACAGTGGTTGTACCATTTTACATTTCCAGCAGCAGTGAAGAAAAGTTCCAATGTCTTTGCAACCTCATTAGCATTTATTGTTTACTATTTGTTGAACTACATGTTATTGTTGGTGAGATGGTATCTCATAGTTGTTCTGATAGACTGTATTTGGAGGCAATTTGTTATATAGCAACAGGTAACTAATATGACTAGACTCTAAGCTAAGGAAATTAGGCTTAGAGAAAAATGCCACTTATGTGCTGTTAAACACCAGAGTTGGAATTTGAACTCAGTTCTAAACCTCTGCTCTTAACTACTAAATTATGATCTCATAAGGTCTTTGCAAGGTAGCTCTGGCCCGCCTTTCTAAACTTATTACCTATTACTTGACAGTCATTAACATCTTACTTGGATCCACAATGAATACACTTCATACCAGCAGTCAGGATATCAAAAGATGTGTTGCATTGGGAAAGTCTGTAGTCAGGGACCTCTCCAAATTATTGAGGAGTAATGATGTCTATTTGAGGACTAAGGTGCTCCTGATTCAGGCCATGGTCTTTTCAGTCACTTGCTATGAATCTGAGAGCTGGATAATGATGACAAAGGATGCCAGAAGGATGACATAAGAAGAATTGATGCCTTTGAACTGTGGTGTTAGAAGAGTGCTGAAGATCCCATGTTGTTGTTGTTATTGTTGTCGTGTACTGTAGAGTCAGACCCGATGCATAGCTGACCCTCCAGTGGGTTTTCAGAGGCTGTTAATGACCCAAGAGGAAGATCCCATGGACTGTCTTTAAAAGGACAAACAGATATGTCTTGGAGAAAGCATGGCCAAGAGTGCTCCTTGGAGGCAAAGATGATGAAGCTTTGTCTTCCATACTTTGGGCATGTTGCTGAGAGAGGCTATTCCTAAGAGGGACTTCATTCTTGGGAAGGTGGAGGAGTGGCAAAAGAGAGGAAGACTCTGGATCAGGTGAGTTGACATGGTGATTGTGACAATG